CCATTTCCTGGGATTTGTAATAGGATGCTCTGTGCTTGGTAAATAACATATCTGAACCACATATATGTTGTTTGTACTGTAATGTGTGAATCACACATGTGTACCTCTGTTTTGTGCCATTCCCACCAGTCTGTGTATTTGGGTTTTGAGTCTTCTGCTAGGTTTTTGATGGCCCTGGAGTCACCTGTTTTGGTGTTTTCCCTCCTGTTCAGCACCTTCCTCCCTGCGTCTTCAAAGGGCCTGATTTCATTTCTCCCATCTACTGTCTTGTACCTTCTTGGTTGCCATGACTGTCCATTACACTTATTTTAAGGACTTCTGATTAGTAAGGATTGGGGAATGGGTGATATTCTTCTTAAAGACAAATGACAAGACATGGTTTTAAATGTACCTGATAGGCCCTTTCTGGTTGATGACCCTGGAACTAGACCAACCTGAGATTTTGGGCTGGCTCTTCTTTGTTTTGTTTATGAGCAAGACAAACCTTTATCAATCTGTAATCTACATCTCAGCAAGGGAAAACAAAACAAAACAAGACAAAAAAATTAAACTCAGGGAAGCAGTGCAGTGACGAGGGTTAATACCACAGACTTTGGATTAGGTACCCCTTAAGTTAGCATCCTGCCTACTATTAGTGCATGACAATCATTTATATAATATTGACACATTGTGAAAACAAATAGTAGCTTTGCACTGGGATCTTCAGTGGGTCATGGAAGATTTAAGTTGAATAAGGTACCACCTATCCTAGTTGTCAGTAGTCAAGTTTGTATGCTGTATATCTTGGGTAAGCCTGGGTTTGATTATCTTGTTACAGCACTGGGGCTTCTGTCTGCAGCCGTATTCTTTTATAGACTATAGAAAATGAATCTTCTTATTCATTTAGCCTCTGCTCCATTCCTTTCTTGCTCAGTAATTCTAGGTGGTGACTTCTAGGTACTTTTACCACAGTCTTGTAGAATTATCTGATGATTCTTTCCCTTTTGTTTGTAAAGTCATTTGTGCTCTTTGCATTAACCCTTACAAGATACTCCCAAGGAATGAACAGAAGGATAAAGTAGAGATTTTGTTTACACTCTTAAGCTAGTATTATTTTTGAACTAAGGTTAGTCACTACCTCTTGTTCATCATTCTTCTATCATGGTTGATAGTACAATTTAAATAATAGTCTCTTCTCCAAAAATTTTCATCAGAAATACTATGATGGCTTTAGTGGTCCAGTGTCAAATCTTAATTTTTCCCAGGGTAGAATGCTAATCCCTTCTCGTCATCCTGAATTAGTCTCCCATGCTCCTGAGCTAAGCTATTCTTTTCCTGTAGAGCCTAGTCTACCTCCTTGATTCCCTGCTTCTGAAAGACAAGCTGATATCGTCTGTTTCCCTAAAGACTTACTACTTGCTTTGAACTTCACAGCCACTTTCTTTGTCACTTTTTTGCTGTCTGACCAGTTTTGTGTTACTCTTACATGGAACCTGGTTGTGTGTTTTGGTTCTCTGTGTATTCTTCTGTTGTGTTCTTGAGTGAAGTTTCTTAAAAATAGCAGTATAGTTTAGGATGTGAAAAATTTGCCAGATCTTATATTTGACATTGATAGCTCATTGGTCCTCCTTATTATCTTATGAGGTAGGTATATTTATTTTACTATAAATAGGAAAATAAATGTTGGTGAGCTTTCAGCTTATCCAGTCATAGGGCACGTCTGAAATCTGAGATGAGATCTGTGACTCCAGAGTGTAAGATCTGACTCTTGAATTATAATGTCTATAATGCTGGCATCTGGATTACCTTAATTGACCAGAAAAAGTGATCACAGGTCATTTGATACACTCAGATACTTACATATACTTTTCATCTAGTGGGGGTCTTGTTTAGGGGAAGAATGCGAGCCATGTGCATTGTGTTCAGGCCTTGTATCCTTGTACCCATCCCCCTTCCCAGGCCCCTTCATGGCTGTGCTCTTTGCCAAACTCGAGAACATGCTGCAGAACTCCGTCTATGTCAACTTCCTGCTGACGGGGCTGGTGGCCCAGCTGGCCTGTCACCCCCAGCCCCTGCTCCGCTCTTTCCTGCTCAACACCAACATGGTCTTCCAGCCCAGTGTCAAGTCCCTGCTGCAGGTGTGCGATGCATGCATGCATGGGTGCGTCCAGGCTCAGTGGTGGGCCAGGCCCACAGCTAGAGTAACGTTGGGTGGGCTGGGAGCAAGTGCAGTGGGACAATAGAAAGGCCTATGCCAATGTGAAACCATCAGAAATGTTATAAAATTGTGCTTCATAGGTGCTGGGCTCTGTGAAGAATAAGATTGAGAGCTTTGCAGCCTCCCAGGAGGACTTCCCTGCTCTGTTATCCAAAGCCAAGAAGTACCTCATTGCCCGTGGCAAGCTAGACTGGGCTGAGGGTCCTACAGCAGGACCTGCTCCCCGCCGCTCTGATTCTCTAGGTGAGGATTAATTGACCACCCTTCCTTATTCTCTCTAGATACCTCATTTTAGCCCAAGTTTGCTAAGCTTCAGAAACTGAAGAGCTGTTGAAAATGGAATCTTTATGTTGTGAGATTTTGAGAGGATAGAGTTGTTTTATTAAGAGCCTAGTTAGCAATATCAACAAAAAACTGTAATGGTCTAGGGACAAGGAAGGAGAAAGAAGTTCTTGGGTTGAGATATTGTGAGATCTTGATATGCCATTTGCCCTCAAGTAATGAGAATAGGGGGTTTACAAGACTGTGCAATAGTTGGTGATATAGCTAGAAAGATTTGGCCAGAGTAAGAGGTTTTCAGAGTGGAAGTTAGGCTGGGAAGAAGTTGTGATTTTTTTCTTTCAGACACTAAGATAACAGAGATTTTAAAAATCTGGATGTGATGAGAATTGCAGGTGAATTGGAGTTAAGAGAAGGGATTCAGGAAGAATAATCCAGACCAGGAAGGTTTGAATTTGAATAGTGGAAAAGAAGGAAAGCACCTGATAGGGCAGAGATGGGAAGGAAGTTTTTGCAGAATTTGGTTAGTGGATGAGGAGACAAGGAAGCATTAAATACAGCAGAATTTGGTAGTGGTTGAGATAAGGAAGCATTAAATGCGTGCATCAGTCTTAAGTTCTTGAATTCATAGTTCAGTGCATGAGATAGAAGCCTTGGGAAGAAATTATTGATGTTGAGTTAATGATAGCAGAACAGGCAGTCACTGTAGGGAAGATCACAGAGTGTTTTCAGGGTTCTCCCAGGTGGAGATAACTAAGCTAGAAAGGAAAAAAAAGTAGGAGTGACAAATTGTAGCCAAAGGAAACTACAAATAGATGTAAGATGCCTATTAGAATCAGTGAAGATAGGTGTTGGTATAGAAGCTTGTGGGCTTTAGAGAGTTTGAGTGAGACCCTGATTGTGAAGGGCTCTGAATGTAAGGTTAATAAATTTGTATGGTGTCTCTGTAACTATTATTAGAGGTGGTGAATGGAAACATTTATCATGATCTAGGGGCTAGAGACTAGAAAGTTAGGTAGAGGACAGTATTTTAGGTAGCTCAGTTGAGCCTAAGCAAATATGAAGTTGTCTGGGTATACCCAGTATGAGGGAGGGCTTGGTGAGTGTAGCACAATTACTGATGAGTGATGAAGTGGTAATATAAGGAAATTGATGCTAGACAGACAGTAGAGTGTAAAGAAAATGAAGCAGTTCTTCATTTTCATATAGGTATTAAAAGAGCAGAGGATGTAGGTTAGCTCTAGGTAGTTAGAGCAAAGTAGAAGTAGTTAACTGTATATAGTCCTAGAAAAATGGTTCTCAACCTGTGGGTTGTGACCCTTTTGGCGGGGGGGGGGTGGTGGAGGGGGGGAGTCTGCATGTCAGATATTTACATTATAATTCATAACATCAAATGACAGTTATGAAGTAGTAATGAAATAGTTTTATGGTTGGGGTCAGCACAGCATGAGGATCTCTTAAAGGGTTGCAGCATTAGGAAGGTTGACAATTAGTGCTCTAGAGGGTGATAGGAAATACAAAGTTAGGGCATATTATGTACGAGAGCAACCATAGTGGTGGTAGAATAGTGGTTAGAATGAATTCTTTAGGGTGAGGGGTCATGGAGAAGGAGGGAGTTGTAGCTGGTAATAAAGTAGCGCAAATATTGGCTACTGAGGAGACTCGATAGAGGGGAAAGGCTGAGCGAGCAGGATCTTAGTGAGAAAATGCACCTTTCTCAAATCTTAAGTCATTTTAGAGATGAGAGAAGAAATGAACTTCAAATTCAGTTCCTGTCCATCTCGTCCTTCCATTTTTCCAGAACTCTCGGGGAGAAGTTCAAGAATCTAAATGGGTTAGGGAATCTGTTCCCCAAACTAGGGCAGGTTCCCTGATCCCAGCACTTTCTTGATATTCCTGTTTATTCTCAGTGAGGAGCCGGAGACCATCCTTGGGGGAGTTACTCCTGCGGCATGCACACAGTCCAACCAGGGCCCGGCAGGCGGCACAGGTTCTTCAACCTGGGCGAGAAGGAACAGGACTTGGACTAGGTGGGGGCTCTCCAGGAGCTTCAACTCCAGTTCTGCTCCCCCGGGGTGGGGCTTCTGAACGCCAAGGTGAGGCTCTGCGAGTCAAGAATGCTGTCTACTGTGCAGTTATTTTCCCTGAGTTTCTCAAGGAGTTGGCTGCCATCTCCCAGGCCCATGCCGTCACCTCGCCTTTCTTGTTGGATACTTCAGAGGAGGTATCTGTCCCTCCCATCTCAGGCTTTGGACCCCTCAATCCTTAATTTTCTTCCATGGACAATCAGGGCCTTTTGTGGCCTGGGCTGAATTCCAGGACACGGGCTCCTTTTTATGTTTGGAGGCAGTGACAAATGGACTTTTTAATTTATTTCAGATGAATGTTTTATGAGAACTTGTTGCAATATGTATAAAAGGGAAATCTCTATTCTGTGCTCATTCTTCTTTGCCACCCTTTATCTATGGGGCTGTGGCCCTGTTAAGGTTGTGTAAAAGATGGGGACTCATCGCAGGGATTTTCTCTCTGGTGGTAACACTGATAATAGGGTTTCAGGATAGCCCCTTTACTCTTAGAAGGTGAGAGGACTTGATGTTCAGGGGAAAGTGGAGACTCTTCATTTTTCTGGACCCTAGAAGGAAGAAGCACATAGGCCCAGGGTGGTTTGGGGGTGCAGCAGCTGATGTTTATTGGGGACCAGTATCCCTATGTCAGATCTTAGGGACCTTGCCCCCTGCGTCTCTTGCCTCAGCTTCATTCGTCGCTGTCGAACTCCGAGGACAGACCCTGCAGCAGGGGCAGGGACATGGAGTGCCGGTCGGGGTCCCCGGGGCCCCCACCCTGGGCTCCTGGTGGGGGGTTGCGGGGACTGAAGAGCCAGTTCTCTGCTAGGGTTGGGGATAGTCACAGCTTGACTCATGCCCTGGTCTTCCTCCTTAGTCCCTCCCCCCACCACACACCCTTAACAGGGCCATGCTCCCATCTCACCCTCCCTGGACTACTTCAAGCCTGTCCCTTCATAAGGGTCCTGTACACATTCTGGGCTCCTGAACCCATCCCTGGGCTATATTCCCAGTATCCTTTTCCTCCAATGGTCTTTCCCATCCCTCATCTTCATTTCCCCTAGCAGTACCTGAAAGCATATAGGGGCCCCTCCGGAATGGGTTTCGGCCCTTATAGGAGAATCTGGTAGGTCTGCCTTTTGGCCCTTCTTGGGGAGGAGGTGTAGGTGGGGCTGGGACAGGTTGAGATACATCAGCAACTTCAAGGGTATCAGCAGGTACTGATGTAGGGGCCAGAGTTGATAAGATGCTAAGGCTAGGTCTAACCCAGTTAGCTCCTTGGGGTAGTGGGTCTTTGGTTAGAGACTTCTGTGGTCCCAGCACACCCTTGGGCTGCAGTGAAAACTTGAGGCAGGAGAAAGCAATAGGTAGTGGCCGCTGTAACCGGAGTAGCTGGGGCTCACGGGCTGTAGGTAACAGCCCTAGCTGCAGCCAGGTGCAGGAGAAGACCTGGTAGATGACGTAGATGCTGTGGGTGCTTCGGAGCCAGGGAAGATTCTGCTGTAGGCTCACCTGTCCTGGTGGTAGCAGCAGGAAGGCAACCTTCTTGCGCAGGCCTCCCATATGTAGGCGGATGCGACAGGGCTGCCCATCCAACATTCGCATTTCTTCATAGGCTATCTCGGCTCGGCCATTTGGTGAGTATTCCCGAGTGCAGTGGGCAAAGACACCCTCTGACCCTGCCTGTTCTAGAAGATTTGGTAGCAGCCCTACTGATTTCAGTGCCCTTCTGCCCTGTCGGCCTGGCAAAGTTAGGCGCGTGTGGGCTGGACGGGACTGTTTCACTAGCACGCCCAGTAGATCATAGCAGGCTGCATCCGACAGGAAAGGTACTGCCACTACATTGGACCCAAAACGCTCCTCGATGACCTGCAGGTGGCCAGTTTATAAGTCAGGGGCTGAGTTAAGGTCAGAGGTTAACTTGTGTTGTCTAAATGACCTTCCCACCATTGTTCACTGTTTAAGTACATTTCTACAGTATACACAGACCCACACTTTTTAATCTCCTAGTCCCCTCTGTAGCAAAACTTTGAGTGTCTTATTTTTGTGTCAGATTGTGGAAGATACTTGGATACATGAAAGAATGAGACTGTGTCCTTATCCTAATGTAGCTTGGGCTAGTGGAGGGGACAAAAATGTGAACAGTAGTTAGCTAAGTAAAATAATAGCAACATGTGACAAAGACAAGTGATTTAACAGCCTTTGTCATTAATAAAATGATAGTCAAAGAAGTTTGCTAGGTGGCAGTACTTGAGCTTTGGAGGATTTAGCTGGTTGGGCAGTGGTCATTCCTGGCAGAAGGGACAGCCAGGGAACGTCTCTGAGCCATCAAATTATGCACATTTAGGAACACAATTTCATATTGCTTGCACTTGTGGTAGGAAGAGGAAAGGCACAAAGGAATTAGGCTATGGAAAGGTGTGTGTATATGCCTTTTATAAGTGACTGATTCTGATGCCAATGGGAAGCCACTTGTAGGCTCTGGGTGAAAGATGGGATCAGGAAGAAGAGAACTGATCCTTTAATATGCCTAAAGACTGTTGCAATAATGCAAGCAAAACATGATTTTAGTTCCACTAAAATAATGGGAAGTTGAAGTCACAAAATTGGTTGAACTTAGTCTCTTCATAGATATGGGATAATGGAATCTTCAAAGATCATGCCTAGGTGATAGGTTATAGTGAGAAAGGATACACAGATGTAGGCTTATAATGACTTTTCTTCGCGTGTATTCTACCTTAGTTGCAAGGTATAGTTGTTTGTGTGTGTGTGAAGCCTAATCTTTGTGTCATTCTAGTATCCATTTAGGGTATCTAGTTCCTTAGATCTGTCCTTTATATCTTGTTTTTGTTTGGAATAGGTGTACTTAGTGGCCAGTTTATTGAGAGTACCTGGAAACCCTGTAAGATCATCTTTAGTAGTAACTTACTTAGCTGTTACAGATATCCATCTATCCAAAGTTTCATTGGCTGAGCCTTCTGACTCTATTATTCTAGAGAGGTAGTGATCTTTTTTATCCACCAGATCACACATATCTGTGCTCCTACACTGAATTCACCCAATGATCCCTGAGGCTGCCCTGCTCTCACTTTGTAACATAAAGCTGTTTTTGAAGTTCTGGCCTGCACTATTGAAAGGAGGAAATCAAGGTGCCCTGTTCTGCTTGAAGTGTTAAATTTGTCCTGTTTATCTCTGCCCTGAGTTATTCACTGAGAAGGAGGGGTTTCTTTTCTTCTTTCCTATAGAGGAAGACCTCATTTATGTTCACTGTAATTTTAGCAGGTCTAGTGTAGATAGACATTAGTTAGCACTGTTGAAACCAATTACTCTTAATCATGGGAAAACCCTTTGCTCTCTAGTTTCTACCTCCCTTGCCTCTGTGGTGAGCACCTTCCCAAACAATGAGAGTTAAATGTCATTAATACTGCTTCAAGTCTGATGGATACTATTCTAAGATGGCAATTTAAGTTTGGGAGTATACATTTTTCCCTTTATTCTCTCATGGATTTTGATGTTTGTCTTAAATTAGTTGTTCATTCACCCATCATTCATTCATTCAGGTTTTTATTTTGTGGCTTTTATATATCAGTTGCTATTGCTATTATTGTCTAAATATCCCACCTCTTCTTACACAGAAACCACCTAAGAATCAGCTTGGTTACAGTTTGCTATTCTTCTGTGCCTCCTCGTTTTACCTACCTTATCTTTGATGAGGGCCCAAGTGGCATCTGCTTCATCCAATGTAAGCAGGTGGGGGTTACTGACCAACATGATGGGGAGTAGGAGGGGTTGGGTAAGGTAGTGGCTGCTGCAGGAACCCCCAAGCTGCCCAGGGAGGTAAGTCCCCCCTGCCTTGGGCTGTGACCTACTCCAGCATGAGGTCATAGAGGTCCTGCTAGGTGATGGAGCCTTGGATACAGAGAGGACAGTAACTGTACTAGCGTCCTTATAGCTTGTGGGTCATAATTACACATTTTTATTTCCTTTTCCTTTTTCTTTCTTTCCATTACCCTTTGCCATTTCATTTTTCCTTTCTATTCTTGTCCTTACCTTTGAATAGCACAAAGATGATCTCTTTTCACCCCTCTCTCCCCCATTTTTTTTTTTTTTTTTTTTTAATCATACAACAGAGTCTTGCTTCATGGTCTCATGGTCTTTTGCCTTAGCCTGGAGGGGCCATTCTCTTGCTTTTTGGGGAGGAAAATGCAATACATTCTGTTTCAGTTTCTCCTTATCTGTAGTTCTTGGTTTGAGTTCTTTAAGGAAACGGGGTAGGATCATTCTTCTTTTTAACTGGCATCTAGTTAATTGTGGATTACTTAGAAGTTGTATTGTGGTCCTGAAATACATGGAAGTAAAGATGAAGATTTACACTGAAAAAGAAGCATATAAACAACAGTAAAAACCCCAGTGATTATCAACCTATAAATACCTGGAGATTTAAAAATTATCGATACTTGTCTCCTGTTCTCAGAGATTCTGATTTAATTTGGGTTATGCCTGGAAATCCTAACTTCTGAAAGATACCAGATTAAAACCAGTTATTAATGAGAATAAAAGCTGTAGAAACCAGGTGTGTGTAGGAGGGTGTTAGCTTGATCAGTGGCAATGTGGAAAGTAAGTCTAAATGGGATTTTGTTCCCTTAGTAACCGGCAAGAGTTTTCAGAACGTCAGAATTACCCAGGTAAACATGAAGATTTTCTTTATGCTCCATTCCTGTCTTAGGCCAATTTGTGTGTAGTAGTTTCCTCTCCCACTCTAGTTATTACTTTTCTTCCTTGTGGTTTTGTCCAGAGATCTTACCCAGTATTTTGCTGGAGAAGAATAACTTCAAAAGAAATCACTTTAGAACTTTTAGTAATCATTTTTCCCTTCCATACCTTGTCTGTCCCATAGTCCTCTTTCTGGAGGTCTCCTGCCTAGGGTGTGTCCTGTTGCAGCCTGACCTGCTGCAAAGCTGGCTGTCATCTGAGCCAGCTGAAGTGATGCATGTCTTACCACACAGAAGGATACTGCAGTGATGGGAAAGTGTTACCAAGAAAATTTTCCAAAAGGAGGTACAGTTGGACTCAAGGGAAAGCACATCATCTCAGAAAGAACTGAATATAGAGGTGCTAGATCTTTTAGCAAATGAGTAACAGTAGGCTTAGTCCTGTTTCCAGGAAAGAAACTGTCAGATATTTGTTGAACTCTTCTGTGCTAGGGCCTGTGTTAGATATTGACTGTGTTAGCTTAGAGGAGCCTTTTAGGAATCTCCTTTTTTGTTTTTTGTTTTTTTTAGACAGGGCCTCACTGTGTAATCCAGAATGGCTCTGAACTCATGTAGCTACAAGCTGGCCAGAACTCACAGCAATTCTTCTGCCTCAGACTAATGCTGGGATTACAGGTGTGCAGCTCTGTGCCCAGCTTCTTTTCTGGAGTAGGTATTATTGTTTCTTTTTATAGTGAAGGAAAGGTTCAGAAAAATTAATTAGCTAACACACAGTGAGTAGTTAATAACAGATCTTGGGTTCCAGCTCTTACTATTGAATAATAGCTCCTTTTGGTACTATTGCATGGCTCACTTCAGTGTGTAATGAGAGAAGTATGTGGCTTAGTGAGAAGGAAGTGGGCAGGATGCAAGAGAAGCCACAACAGTCCAAGTGAGAAACCTTGCATTTCTTAAGAGAACTAAAACCAAGTTCATTCTTTTTTTGTGCCTATTTAGCAAGCCCTTTGTACAATATCATCTTTGATACTAGGGCTCTAATTTTTAGTGGTTTTGGATGTTTTGCCTACATGTATATGTGTGCATCACATGTATACCTGGTGCCAGTGGGGTCCAGAAGATGACATCACATTCCTTGTACTGGAATTAGACATAGTTGTAAGCTGCCATGTGGGTGCTGGGAATTGAACCCTCTGGAAGAGCAGCCAGTGTTTTTAACTGCTGAGCTATTGTTTGCATTCCCTAAGCCAGCATTCACTGTGTCACTGAAGCTGGTCTACTACTTGTGGTACTTCTGTCTTGTGTGCTACAGTTGAAGATATATATGATCACACCTGGTTTAGCACATCCTTTCATTTTGGATGACAGGGAAAGGATATGTTGTGTAGTGTAGTTGGCAACTCTGTTCCTTCCTGAAAGAAATTTGATAATGAACCCTGAAGTGGAATAAGAGGCAGACAGAGACCAGAAGAAGGGACAGAACCATGTACTTCTGCACCTCTGCAGTGTGGAAGAGCTGACTGTAAGGCAGAGAATTGTACATGTGCAGATGGCAAGGGGAGTCCACAGTGAGAAGACATGGATGAGATCAGTATAGGAATGGTGGCTTATTGGTCAAGTAGGAGGCAGAAGATTTGGGAATTTTTGTTCATGGACATGAATTCAGAGGGCAAATTGGGTTCTGATAAATTACTTAGCTGGAAGCTCATACTTTCTGCCTTTTCCTTGATTTCTGATTCCCATGAATTTCTGGACTCCCTAAATTCTAACATTGAGTAAGTCTGTCTTTTGTTTTTGCTCAGAATCTGAGACTGAAAGATAATGAAGGAAAACAGATGGCAACTGAGTCCAGATGAGTTGGTGAGCCCAAGGGTTGGGCTGTTGGGTAGTATCTTGCTGGAATTTGCTACCCATGTGACATCATTCTGTGGTATCTTTAGAAAAAGGCACTGATGACCTTGAGGTTATCAGATGGGGTTTGGGAGTAAATAAATAGGATGGCTTATGCAGAGAATGTGAAATTACCTGTATGAATTTCATGTCAGCATAGAATAGCATTGGTAGTAAAGACTTTAAGGTGATAAAGGTCCTTAATAATCTCTTATTTCAGGTTGCAGGGATAATTGTATAAACTCTTGATGCTTTATTTTCAGCTTTTTGGGATAAATATGTACTAGAGCCAAGATGTTTCCATTTTACGGATGGAATAATATTTTCTATGTTAATGAATATCCCAGTTGAGATTCAGGTGGTGCCCTGTAGTCAAACATTCTTTTCAGTTAAATATGTGAATATTTACACTTAAGTGAAATAAAGGCTAAAAATAAGATCATAATGGTTGGGGGCTAGGGTTTTGGCCAAAGCTATAGAAAAAAAGATGTTTTTACAGGGCATATAGTTACTTCTCAGGTTATTATGAAGAACGAGAATGTGCTGGTAAAGCTTTCTGAACATATCACATGTTAGGTATGTATTCAATGTCAATGAAACACAAACATGTTAGATTTTTGGCTTGAAGGAAAAACATTCTCTGCACACAGCTTTGGAAGAAGCAACCTTGGGAGAATTGCACAGCTAGGAGCTGAAGGTGCCTTAGAGCAGTCTCTCATGATGGGACAGTGACAGACTCATTGCTCATGAACATTCCCTTCCCATGTATTAGAGGGAAAATGGTGTGTGTGGGTTTGTATGTGTGACATGGGGATTATCACACAGGAATTCCTTTCTATTTCCTTATAATAATGTAATAAATATACTACTGCTATACTGTTTCTTCACATCTCAGTTTTTTTCTCAGAGTATATTTTTCAAAGGGAAGTTTCTTAAGAGAAATATATGGACATCTTAGTTTGTGGTCCCTTAGGTTCAGTATGTCTTTGTGTGCATACACATGTGTATGGAGGATCCAGATTGAAGTTGGGTGTCTTCCTTTATCTACCTTATCTTTTGAGACAGTCTCTCTGAACCTGGAGTTCACTGAGTGGCCAGGGAGCTCCAGGTATCTGTCTCTCTTCTTCTCCTCAGTACTGGGATTACAGACTTGCACCTAGCTTTTATGAAGGTGCTAGGAATCTGAATGAAGTCACGTTTGCAGGCCAGGAGTTTTCCCACTGCACCATCGCTTCCAGCTCTACGACTTGTATTTCATAGTTTTCTACCAAATCATTTCATGGAGGGCTTTTAAACTTCAAAGTTCATGAAAAAGATAAGTTTTGGGAACAACTAAACTCATACATGATTGACTAGACCAAGTAGTTCTTGACCTGTGGGTTATGACCCCCTTGACAAGCCACTATTTCCAAAAATATTTAGATTATGACTCATAACAGTAAAATTATAATTATGAAGTAGTAATGAAAATAGTTTTATGGTTAATAATCACCCCAATATGAAGAACTGTTTTAAAGGGTTGCAGCATTAGAAAGGTTGAGATCCGCTGAACTAGATGCTCTCTTCAGCCATTCAGATTCAGTGTGATTTACTTGAAATCATGCAGACATTTTGAGGTACCTCTTGAGGTTTATAGGGATCTATTGAGACACCATTTAGTCCTAGGAATGACAAATGTCCTTACAGGAGCTTGATTAAGCTCTCTGAGCTACCTGTCCTGGGTTGTTCTTACTTCAGGACTCCCTGACTAACACCAAAACATGATGACTGCAGTTTTCTCTGACATAACTGTTGTGACTCCCTGCCTATTATATATTATTCCTTCCATTATCCAGCCATAATTAAAAATGAATTCCCCCATTGGGTAACATTATGCCATTTCCTGTTTATTATCTCTGGGCAGTGGCAGCAACATGAAACATTTCTATTTCATCATATTGTACCGGTATCACATGCTGTTAGTGACAACAAACAGAACAGATAGGGGTTCTTATGGGGATTTTACATTTTTTGGCTAAGGGTACACAAAAGGGCAGGCTGACATGTGATTATACTGACTCTATCCTTTAGATATCAGTTTATGTTTTTTTAGTTCGATACTTGACTCCCAAAGTCCCAGCCCCAGAGAAAGACCATGTAGGTATTGCTTTAGGGGCTTTGTTGGGATTGAAGGAATTAGTGATTACATACAAGACCAAGAGAATTCTTTGATTGGGAGTATCTTAAGTCCAGTTATTCTGGC